CCCAGGCAGGAGTGCAGTGGTGCGATCTCAGCTCTCTGCAACCTCTGCCTCCCAGGTTCAAGTAATTCTCCTGCCTCGGCCTCCTGAGTACCTGGGACTACAGGCATGTGCCACCACATCCAGCTAATCTTTTGTATTTTTAGTAGAGATGGGATTTCACCGTGTTAGCCAGGATGGTCTCAATCTCCTGATCTCCGCCTGCCTCGGCCTCCCAAAGTGCTGGGATTACAGGCATGAGCCACTGCGCCCGGCCGAATTTTTTCTATTTTTAGTGTAGACGGGGTTTCACCATGTTGGCCAGGCTAGCCTTGAACTCCTAACCTCAGTTGATCTGTCTGCCTTGGCCTCCCAAATTGCTGAATTACAGGCATGAGCCACTGGGACCAGCCTTACTCTACGGAAGTAAGATTTAGAACTCTCGTTTCTTACATGTTTCTTTTTTGTTTTTTGTTTTTACTTTGAGATGAAGTTTTGCTCTTGTCACCCAGGCTATATTATATATTATTTTTTCTTGGGTCTTTTCTCCTTTTCTCTAATCTTGGTGTTTTGTTTTGAGACAGTCTTACCCTGTCACCAGGCTGGAGTGCAGTGGCGCAATCTCAGCTCACTGCAATCTCCACCTCTCGAGTTCAAGCTATTCTCCTGCCTCAGCCTCCTGAGTAGCTAGGACTACAGGCACGCGCCACCATGCCCAGCTCATTTTTGTGTTTTTAGTAGAGATGGGGTTTCACAGTGTTGGCCAAGATAGTCTTGATCTCTTGACCTCGTGATCCGCCCACCTTGGCCTCCCAAAGTACTGGGATTACAGGCGTGAGCCGCTGCACCTGGCCAACACCCACCTAATTTTTGTCTTTTTTTTTTTTCTTTTGAGACGAGTCTCGCTCTATTGCCCAGGCTGGAGTGTAGTGGCTCACTGCAACCTCCGCCTCCCCAAATTCAAGCAGTTCTCCTGCCTCAGCCTCCCACGTAGCTGGGATTACAGGCACGCGCCACTATGCCTGGCTAATTTATTTATTTATTTTTTTATTTTTATTTTTTTTTAGTGGAGACGGGGTTTCACCATGTTGGTCAGAACTCCTGACCTCGTGATCCACCCGCCTTGGCCTCCCAAAGTGTTGGAATTACACGCATGAGCCACCGCGCCGGGCCTGCCTGGTTAATTCATTTATTTATTTATTTTTTGAGATGAAGTCTTGCTTTGTCGCCAGACTGGAGTGCAGTGGCATGATCTCGGCTCACTGCAATCTCTGCCTCCGGGTTCAAGTGATTCTTGTGCCTCAGTCTCCTGAGCAGCTGGGATTACAGGCACACACCATCACACCCAGCTAATTTTTGTATTTTTTTTGTTTTTGAGACGCAGTCTCGCTCTGTCGCCCAGGCTGGAGTGCAGTGGTGCGATCTCGGCCTCCCAGGTTCATGCCATTCTCCTGCCTCAGCCTCCTGAGTAGCTGGGACCACAGGTGCCCGCGACCACGCTCGGCTAATTTTTTTGTATTTTTAGTAGAGAGGGGGTTTCACCATGTTTGCCAGATGGTCTCGATCTCCCGACTTAGTGATCCACTCTCCTCGGCCTCCCAAAGTGCTGGGATTACAGGTGTGAGCCACCGCGTCTGGCCTAATTTTTTATTTTTAGTAGAGACAGGGGTTTCACCATGTTGGCCAGGATGATCTCGATCTCCTGACCTCTTGATCCTCCCGTCTCGGCCTCCCAAAGTGCTGGGATTACAGGCGTGAGCCACAGTGCCCGGCCTTGTTTTCTAAATATATAAAGTCAGAAATAAACCCAAATAACGAGCATATATATATATATATATTTGAGACGGACTCTCGCTCTGTCACCAGGCTGGAGTGCAATGGCACGATCTCGGCTCACTGTAACCTCCGCCCCCTGGGTTTAAGTGATTCTCCTGCCTCAGTCTTCCGAGCAGCTTCCACTACCAGCGCGCACCACCACGCCCGCTAACTTTTGTACTTTTAGTAGAGACGGGGTTTCCCCCTGTTGGCCAGGATGGTCTTGATTTCTAGACCTCGTGATCCGCCCGCCTCGGCCTCCTAAAGTGCTGGGATTACAGGCGTGAGCCACCGTGCCCGGCCCTAACGAGCATATATTAATGTTGTAATTATATGTGTGTGTGTATGTGTGCGTGGTTTTGTTTTCTATATAAAGTCAAAAGAGAGTGTATGTGTGTGTGTGGTTTTGTTTGTTTTCTAAATATATAAAGTCAGAAATAAAACCAGGTAACCCAGCCGCCTGGGAAAGGTGGTATCTGGCCCGCCCCATTCCAGCCTGAACTCCGCCCACCGCGATCCGGAAGCCCTGCGCTCAGCGGGTTGCTGGAAAAACTCGGAGCTGAACACCCGGCCGGACACTGGCC